GTTTTTTTTTTTTTTTTTTTTTTTTTTTTTTTTTTGCGAAAACCAGTAAAAGACGAGGTTTCCACATCCAACTTCTTAATCGACCTGATCATTTTTTAGAAAGTTCAATGACTAGGAACATCTTGATTTGTCAGTTTTGACCATGCAGGCATGTCTGGATTTATGCAATTTTTCTGTTTCCTCTTTCAAATGTACAGAAAAGACGACTGGCAGATGAAGAGAATGACCATGGATGATCGCGGTGGAAGGTCGGATTTTGGACGCCAAGACCGCTACCAAGACTTTGACCACAGAGACCGCAGCCGCTATCAGGATGACATGATGATAGACAGGTAACACTAGCAATGTCTAACAGCACCCAAACATCTAGACATTTGTCTATAGATTTTGCTACTATACGGTAATAATTTGCATGCCTTTTTCTATAGGAGAGACAACAGAGGCGGGATGCAAGGAGACCAGGTAAGAAAAGTCCTTCACGGATCTTAATTCGATTTGATCTTTGGGTATTGGATGGCGTCTCATCCTATTTTCTCCATCCACAGCACTTTTCAGATCGGGACAGACATGGCAGGGACAATCGTGACAATTGGGGTGGCGGATACGACAAGCGTGGAATGAATCCGTCGAGGCCAGTGCCAGGCGGGTAAGTTGATTTTCCTCCTCTAGTCAGATGTGCTGTGGTCTTAGACCTCTCTTTATTCAACTGTTTGTTCTGCTTTGTTTTTACAGTCGTGACAACAGGGACTGGGAGCCTGGCCGTAAAGTCGACGGGGACAGAAACTGGCAAGGTTTGTCCAATAAACCTCTATTAAGCTTAGAAAAGGTTGCATGTTCTCCCTTCTGATTTATTACCTTTCTTTTTTAGGAGCAGACCGAGGTGTCCCGGGACTGGGTCAAGTGGCACGGGGTGGAATGGCAAGGTAGTGAGATTTAGGCTTTCGTGGTCTTGTTTGGAGTATAGTGAGTGTCATGGGTTTTCTTGTTGTGCATGAAACTAATATATTTGTCTCTGTAGCCGAGGTGGATACATACAGACAGGGACATCCCAGTCAATCTCTGGAGCCTTAAACCGACCGAATCAGATGCAAAGCAGCGGAATGCAGGGAGGCGGAGCCTTTGGTCGACGCTATTAACTTACATCCTCTTCCCTTGTTTATCTGTTGTGTGTAAAGAGACTTTGCAGCTTGTATATTGCCATTCAAGCTTTGTAACTTTTTTTTTTTT